CCTGACCTCTACAGACACCGATGACTGACCAATGAAATCTGAAATAAAATCGGTCTGTGTGCCAGGTCACTATGACCCAACAATGGCCCACACATAACCCCACAGAGTTCTCTCCCTGCCCCTCCCCCCAACCCCACTGTACAAGTACCCCCCCCACCACCCCCATACAACACAATGCATCCCAAACCAGCCAATCACACAGCAGGACACTCAGACCTATATATAGAATGTACACATGCAGTACCTACAGCAGGGGTGTCCCTAGGGTTGGTGACACCTCCTCCGACGATCCCCGCAGGATGGATCGGATCTGCAGATTGAGCATAATGATCGGACTCCGATCCATTACGCTCCCCAATCCGCAGATCCCATCCATCCTGCAGGGATTGTCGGTATGCACCTATACGGGGTGACACCGGACCCGCACCACAAAAAGGTAAGTTGTAAAGAAAGTCGGCGATCCCCGCAGGATGGATGGGATCTGCGGATTGGGGAGCAAAATGGATCGGAGACCGATTCATTATGCTCAATCCGCAGATCCGATCCATCCTGCGGGGATTCGCCAGCTTTCTTTACAACTTGCCGTTTCGTGGAGCGGGTCCGGTGTCACCCTGTGCGGTAGGTGTCACCCCATGTGGCCTGCACCCCCCCTTCGCCCCTGCCTCGGCACGCCACTGCCCTGCAGAAAGTCTTCACACCCCTCCTGGAAGGTTTCAGGGTTACGGTCATAATGACAATCACTGCATTTTGTAAACCTCAAAATGTTAATTTTGTTTTTTTAAATAAAAGGTTTGTTTTCACCTTTTTTTATCCTTGGATGAATCTCAGCCGCAGATCTCCCGCAGCCCATTTGCAGCCACTTCCTGCCTACATGCACAGCAGTGCGCCGTGTGGAAACGGCCATTGGAAGCCCAGCTTTGCCTTTAGGTATGCCTTAGCCCGGGGTTCACACTGATGGGGTGCGGAGGTCGCAGAGTTTTCAGTGCAAATTCCGCACCGCGTCAGAATCGCCCCCCGTTCATGCAAACCGCTGCGGGTGTGTATGTTAACAACACCCTGAAAGCGGTCTGCAAAACGCGGTGCGATGTGCACAATCGGATCGCATGGGTGTGAATACTCGTGCGATCCGATTCTATTGCGGACCCAAAAAAAAGGGTCCTGCACCTTTTTGATGTGATTTGAGCCAAACAAAATGTTCGCCTCACATAGCACCGCACACAAATCACATTGTATGCGGTGCGGTTCCTGTGCGAATCACATGCGATATACCACATCACATGTATGTGAACCCGGGCTGAAGGTCCTTGTTCAGGCACTTCCTGTTACAGGTGACAATGCTCTGTCCCCGACTTCCAGCTGTGTTCCTGCGTTGTCACCCTGGTCAAGCCTCATTCTCAACAAGCACGTTCCTGAAAAAATGGCTGTAAATGTGAGGGGTGCGGGGCAGGGGGCACCAGATGGAAACCGAATATATCCAAACTAGTCCGTGTGCCGAAAAGAAAATTCTTGGACCGAAACTGAAAATTCAGAATGCGTTTGGCCGAAAACAAAAATGAACCATTTTTAACCGCTTCCAGTCCGGGCGCTTTCCCCCCCTTCCAGTCCGGACACTCCCCCCCCTTCCAGTCCGGACGCTCCCCCCCCCCCTTCCAGTCCAGGCGCTTTCCCCCCCCTTCCAGTCGGACACTTTCCCCCCCTTCCAGTCCGGGCGCTCCCCCCCCCTTCCAGTCCGGACGCTTTCCCCCCCCTTCCAGTCCGGACGCTTTCCCCCCCCCCCCTTCCAGTCCGGACGCTTCCCCCCCCCCCCTTCCAGTCCGGACGCTTTCCCCCCCCCCCCCCCCTTCCAGTCCAGACGCTTTCCCCTTTTCCCCCCCCCCCCCTTCCAGTCCAGGACGCTTCCCCCCCCCCCTTCCAGTCCGGACGCTTTCCCCCCCCCCTTCCAGACGCTTCCCCCCCCCCCCTTCCAGTCCGGACGCTTTCCCCCCCCCCCTTCCAGTCCTCCGGACGCTTTCCCCCCCCCCCCCCTTCCAGTCCGGACGCTTTCCCCCCCCCCCCCCTTCCAGTCCGGACGCTTCCCCCCCCCCCTTCCAGTCCGGACGCTTTCCTTCCCCCCCCCCCCTTCCAGTCCGGACGCTTTGCCCCCCCCCCCCTTCCAGTCCGGACGCTTTCCCCCCCCCCCTTCCAGTCCGGACGCTTTCACCCCCTTCCAGTCCGGACGCTTTCCCCCCCCTTCCAGTCCAGGACGCTTTTTTCCCCCCCCCCCCCCTTCCAGTCCGGACACTTTCCCCCCCCCTCCCTCCCCAGGCCAATTTTCAGCTTTCAGCGCTATCACACTTTGAATGACAATTGCGCGGTCATGCAAACACTGTACCCATATGAATTTTTTTAGCGTTTTTTTTCTTTAGACAGATAAAACTTTATTTTGGTGGTATTTACTCACCGCTGAGATTTTTCATTTGTTATATAAATGAAAAAGTCCAAAAAGTTTGAAAAAAAAAAAAAAAGTGTTTTTCTTATAAACTTTTGCAAATGAATAATGTTTCTTCATAAATCTCGGCCAAAATGTATTCAGCTATCTTTTTTAGTACAAAAAAAAAAAAATAACCCAAATGAGTTTATAACCAAAAATTATAATTTAAATTTTTTTTTTAATATTATTTGTTTTTTTACATACTGTCACCATAGTACTTGTGGGGGGTGATGCATGTTTTTTTCTTTTTTACACTGATTGCTTTTAGACCCATAAAGGCTGTAAAAGCAATAATTTCTCTTTCTCTCTGGCAGCATTCTTGCAGCTATTGAGAAGTACTGAGTGAGCTGTGATTGGTCACAGCTTGTCACATGGTACAAGGCTGCTGTGAATGGTCTTGTACCATGTGACCCCTGTGATCATTCACAGATTTCACACGTAGTAAGCAATGGTGTCAGAAGCGACATCTTGCTTACTACAATTCATGTGATCACTGATTGGCCAATCAGTGATCACATGATCAGGGCCTCACACAGAGGTCCAATACAGCGACTGGTGTTCTGCTGTGTCCGGAGGCCCCAGAGAGCACGCACAGGCAATAGATGTGGGGGGACGTTTAGAAACGTCCTCCCCCATCAGCAGCGCTCCCATCCAGCCGTTTCTCGACATGGGCCGGGAGGGAAGAGGTTAAAAAATAATTTTATGTATTTTTATTATATTCGATTTTTTACATCATATGAATTTATTTTCAGCGGCTCCAAAGCGTTATTCAGCGATCGCATCGTCAAAACAGAAGCAATGTTCCACAGCCACATACCTGATGGGGGGGCCCTGTGTGGCTCCGGATCGCTGCTTCCATTATGACGATTGCTGAATAAAGCTGTGGAGCTCCAGGCTGTGCGGGTGACACGTTCTCTAATTCGGAGACCTTCGATTTCCAGCCGGTGACCACTACTGCAGCCACTCACACTTACAGCCATTTGTCAGGAACGTGCGCCTTGGGCATATGAGGCTTGGACAGGGTGACAACCCTGGAGCACAACTGGAAGTCAGGGATGGAGCGTTGTCACCCTATAACAGGAAGTGCCTGAACAAGGACCTTAAAGTATAACTAAAGGCAAAACTTTTCTTTTAGTTTTGGATGGAGTGGATAGGGATTAGACCCCCTGTCAGGTTTTTATTGCGGTCTGTGTCCCCGTGAGGGAGATTCCCCCTCTGTTTGTCCCGTTGTCACCGAAAGTGAAAGAAAATCCCACTTCCTGTCTGCATGCACTCCAGCGATGGCTGCCTGGCCCTTCTCAGGGCGGGTTTCCTGATGGTGACAACCGTGGGCCGTGTCTGTGTGATGAGTGGCCACCTTGTAGTTCGGAAGTGCGGTGACAACACAGGAGAGCAGCTGGGAGACCTTCCAAAGGAGGTGTCAATACTTGTTAAAGGCGCGGTACATACAGCTGCACACGTCACAATGACACGGATTGTCCACGGATTGTCAGCCGTGTGAACACGGACGCGGTGTGCGAATGGCGGGCATGTCGGATGAGCGCCCCCAGCGAATATTACAGACGGGTGAGATGGAGGGAATGGGGTGTGAAATGGGGGGGGGGGGGGGGGGGGGGGGGGGGGGGGGGGGGGGGGGAGACTTGTCACATTTCAACAACACTCAATAGCGAGACTAGAGAGCACATCTTCTCCGGGGCTGGCCAATCCGTGTCCACCGACCTTCACCTCACAGCCAATCAGCGCAGAGGCCTCAGCTGTGACCAGTTATTCATCAGGGAGTGGAGGGCGGAGGAGCGGGGGTTGTATCTGTCACTGAACTACAACTCCCAGCATGTCCACCTTCAATTTAAAATACTCCGACCCGAACTATGGCGGGGAGCACATGCCAGACCTACCCGGCGACACCCTCTGTGAGGAGTAATGGGGTGTTCGATAGCATGGCGGGGGATGGGGTGCAGAGTACATTGTGGGGGATGGGGTGCAAGGTAAGTTGAGGGGGATGGGGTGCAAGGTAAGTTGAGGGGGATGGGGTGCAGGGTGAGGGGGTGCAAGGTAAGTTGAGGGGGATGGGGTGCAGGGTAAGTTGAGGGGGATGGGGTGCAGGGTAAGTTGAGGGGGATGGGGTGCAGGGTGAGGGGGTGCAAGGTAAGTTGAGGGGGATGGGGTGCAGGGTAAGTTGAGGGGGATGGGGTGCAAGGGTGAGGGGGTGCAAGGTAAGTTGAGGGGGATGGGGTGCAGGGTGAGGGGGTGCAAGGTAAGTTGAGGGGGATGGGGTGCAGGGTAAGTTGCGGGGGAGGGGGTGCCTGGATCAGCCTGCACTCCTCTCCTCTGGGACCCGCACTGTCACCAGCACAGCAGACACGACCTCTGACCTTTCGCTCTGGTTAAAGTTTAAAATAGAAGGCCGTCCCAGAATGCACCTCTGTGGTCGGGGTGACATGTGACAAGGCAGGCAGTGGCACAGACATATGGGGGGGGCATGCAGCAGAGGGGCGGAGCCATGCTGGGCACACGTGGTCACATGGGGTACCTCTCAGCTGGTTGAGTTTGTCGGAGACTTTCAGGTTAAGCAGCTCCTGTCTGAGAGATCCTGGGGGGGGGGGGGGGGGGGGGGGGGAGGAGGTAGGGGGGGGGGGGACAGAGGTCACTGAGTGTGGAGAGAAGGAACAAGAAATACGACACCGACTGACACTGACCGGATCACCCAACTCATATACAGTGTTTGATGGTGTCCACCCCCCCCCCTCCCCCAGATGTCAGTGTACGTCCACCCACCCCCCCCTCCCCCAGATGTCAGTGTACGTCCACCCCCCCCCTCCCCCAGATGTCAGTGTACGTCCACCCCCCCCCCCCCCAGATGTCAGTGTGCGTCCACCCCCCCCTCCCCCAGATGTCAGTGTGCGTCCACCCCCCCAGATGTCAGTGTGCGTCCACCCCCCAGATGTCAGTGTGCGTCCACCCCCCAGATGTCAGTGTGCGTCCACCCCCCAGATGTCAGTGTGCGTCCACCCCCCAGATGTCAGTGTGCGTCCCCCCCCCTCCCCCAGATGTCAGTGTGCGTCCACCCCCCTCCCCCAGATGTCAGTGTGCGTCCACCCCCCAGATGTCAGTGTGCGTCCACCCCCAGATGTCAGTGTGTGCGTCCACCCCCCAGATGTCAGTGTACGTCCCCCCCCCTCCCCCAGATGTCAGTGTGCGTCCACCCCCCAGATGTCAGTGTGCCCCCCCCCAGAATGTCAGTGTGCGTCCACCCCCCCTCCCCCAGATGTCAGTGTACGTCCACCCCCCCTCCCCCAGATGTCAGTGTGCGTCCACCCCCCCTCCCCCAGATGTCAGTGTACGTCCACCCCCCCTCCCCAAGATGTCAGTGTGCGTCCACACCCCCCCCCCCCCTACCCCAGATGTCAGTGTACGTCCCCCCCCCCCTCCCCCAGATGTCAGTGTAACGTCCACCCACCCCCCTCCCCCTAGATGTCAGTGTACGTCCACCCCCCCTCCCCCAGATGTCAGTGTACGTCCACCCCCCCCCCCCCCCCAATGTCAGTGTACGTCCCCCCCCCCCCTCCCCCAGATGTCAGTGTACGTCCACGCCCCCCCCCCTCCCCAAATGTCAGTGTACGTCCACCCCCCCCCCCCAGATGTCAGTGTACGTCCACCCCCCCAGATGTCAGTGTGCGTCCACCCCCCCCCCAGATGTCAGTGTGCGTCCCACCCCCAGATGTCAGTGTGCGTCCACCCCCCCCCCCCCCAGATGTCAGTGTGCGTCCACCCCCAGGATGTCAGTGTGCGTCCACCCCCCAGATGTCAGTGTGCGTCCACCCCCCCCCCCCCAGATGTCAGTGTGCGTCCCTCCCCCAGATGTCAGTGTACGTCCTCCCCCAGATGTCAGTGTAACGTCCTCCCCCAGATGTCAGTGTACGTCCCAACCCACCCCCCTCCCCCAGATGTCAGTGTACGTCCACACTCCCTCCCCCCCCCCCCCCTCCCCCAGATGTCAGTGTACGTCCACCCCCCCTCCCCCAGATTGTCAGTGTACGTCCACCCCCCCCCCCCAGATGTCAGTGTACGTCAACCCCCCCCTCCCCCAGATGTCAGTGTACGTCCACGATCACCCCCCCCCCCCCTCCCCCAGATGTCAGTGTACGTCCACCCCCCCCCTCCCCCAGATGTCAGTGTACGTCCACCCCCCCCCCCCAAGATGTCAGTGTACGTCCACCCCCCCCCCTCCCCCAGATGTCAGTGTACGTCCACCCCCCCCTCCCCCAGATGTCAGTGTACGTCCACCCCCCCCCCCCCTCCCCCAGATGTCAGTGTACGTCCTCCCCCCAGATGTCAGTGTACGTCCTCCCCCAGATGTCAGTGTCAGGTACGTCCACACCCCAGATGTCAGTGTACGTCCCACTCCCCCCCCCCCCCCAGATGTCAGTGTACGTCCTCCCCCTCCCCCAGATGTCAGTGTACGTCCACCTCCCCCAGATGTCAGTGTACACACCCACCTCCCCCAGATGTCAGTGTACACACCCCCCTCCCCCAGATGTCAGTGTACACCACCCCCCCCCTCCCCCAGATGTCAGTGTACGTCCACCCCCCCCTCCCCCAGATGTCAGTGTACGTCTACCCCCAGATGTCAGTGTACACCCCCCCTCCCCCCAGATGTCAGTGTTCACCCCCCCTGTACGTCCACCCCCCACCCCCCCTCCCCCAGATGTCAGTGTACGTCCACCCCCCCCCCTCCCCCAGATGTCAGTGTACGTCCACCCCCCTCCCCCCCACATGTCAGTGTACCTCCACCCCCCTCCCCTCCCCTCCCCCCCAGATAGTGTCCACCCCTCCCCATGTATGAGTGAATGCCCCCCCCCCTCCCCCACATAGTGTACGTCCACCCCCCCTCCCCCCCAGATATCAGTGTAAGGCTAATTCACACTAATGCAGTGCGGTGTGTCACGTGATGTGTGTGCGGTGCAATTGGAGACGTATGTTTTTATGGCTCTAATCGCACCAAAATCATGCAGGACCCTTTTTTTTTGGGTCGGCACCAGAATCAGATCACATGAGTATTCTCACCCATGCCATCGGATTCTGCACCTTGCACTGTGGACTGATTTCAGGGTGTTGTTCACTTAATACGCACACCCGCAGCGGTTCCACATGACCGGGGGGCGATTGTGATACGGAATTCACACAGAAAACCGCTGAGAATTCCACACCGCCTCAGTGTGAACCCGGGGTACATCTCCCCCTCCACTGTGTACCCCAATTATCAGTGTACTACTCCCCCCCCCCCCCAGGTGTCAGTGTACGTCCCCCCCCCCGGTGTCAGTGTACGTCCCCCCCCCAGGTGTCAGTGTACGTCCCCCCCCCCCCAGGTGTAAGTGTACGTCCCCCTCCTCCCAGATGTCAGTGCACGTCCCCTTCCCCAGATGTCAGTGCACGTCCCCTTTCCCTGATGTCAGTGCACGTCTTCCCCCTTCCCCAGATGTCAGTGCACGCCCCCCCCCCCAGATGTCAGTGCAGGTCCCCTTCCCCAGATGTCAGTGAATGTCCCTCTTCCTCTCCGTGTCCCCCAGATATCAGTGTCCCCCCCAGTGTCGGTGGTGTCTCTCAGTTCTGTCTTCAGCAGCCAATCAGCTCTCCCCTCTGTAGGAGACGGAAATCCTGATTGGTTGCCCTGGGTTACCTCACACCGGACTGTATACCCGGCGGAGGACCAATCACAGGAGCGGAGCTCACATCCCTTTCCCGGGATCCCCTCTCCCATCCCGCTCTTACCCCGACTGGTGGGGCCCTTCCTACTCCTCCGGGCCGGGGCATGCCGTGCTACTCAACAGCTGTCAGCGTGTCTGTGTGTGAGAGCCGCGATGGCTGCTGGGAGCCACCCGACTACACCTCCCACAATGCCCCGCGCCGCCCATCCACAATGCACCGGGCCGCCTCTCCTCATCCACTTCCCAGAATGCACTGCGGCGCCCCACTTACCTCCCACAATACAGTGCGCCGCCCTTTCCCGCCCACCTCCCACAGTGCACTGCGAGAACCTATCCTGACTGTCTTCCTCAGGAGAGGCTGAGTGCCCGGATGTGGGCGGAGCTCTGTGTGGTACTGATCTGGAAGAAGCATGTTGCCAGTGAAGTAATCAGTCTGCCGACAGTGATGTCCCCTAGAGGTCAGGAATGGGGTTCTAATGCCGATCACACGACTGCACCAAAGTTGCTGATTGGTCGCCTTCTGTAGAAACCACAGAACACACACAGAAACACCCCCCCCCCCCCCGGCACACAGAAACCCAGAACACACAGAAACACCCCCCCCCCCCAGGCACACAGAAACCCTGGAACAGGTAGAAACACCCCCCCCTCCGGGCCCGCAGAAACCCCGGAACACGCAGAAACACCCCCTCCGGGCACACAGAAACCCCGGAACACACAGAAACACCCCCCCCCCCAGGCACACAGAAAACCCTGGACACAGAAACACCCCCACCCCAGGCACACAGAAACCCCTGGACACACAGAAACACCCCAGGCACACAGAAACCCCAACAGGTAGAAACACCCCCCCCGGACACAGACACGGAACAGGTAGAAACCCCCCCCCCCGGGACCACGGAAACCCTGGACACAGAAACACCCCCCCCCCAGGCACACAGTAAACCCCTGGACACACAGAAAACACCCCCCCCCAGGCACACAGTAAACCCTGGAACACACAGAAACACCCCCACCCCAGGCACACAGAAACCCCTGGACACACAGAAACAGAAACACCCCCCCCCCAGGCACACAGAAACCCCGGAACAGGTAGAAACACCCCCCTGGACACAGACACCCCGGAACAGGTAGAACCCCCCCCCCCCCCCGGGACACACAGAAACCCCTGGACACAGAAACACCCCCACCCCAGGCACACAGAAACCCCTGGACACACAGAAACACCCCCCCCCCCAGGCACACAGAAACCCGGAACACACAGAAACACCCCCCCCAGGTACACAGAAACCCCTGGACACAGAAACCCCACCCCAGGCACACAGAAACCCTGGACACACAGAAACCCCCCCCCCCCCCCGGACACACAGAAACCCCGGAACAGGTAGCAAACCCCCCCGGACACACAGAAACCCTGGAACAGGTAGAACCCCCCCGGACACACAGAAACCCGGAACAGGTAGAACCCCCCCCCCCCGGACACACAGAAACCCCGGAACAGCAGTAGAACCCCCCCCCGGACACACAGAAAACCCCCGGAACACGCAAAACATCCCCCCCCCCCAGAAACCGGGAACACACAAGAAAACCCCCCCCACACAGAAACCCGGGACACAGAAAAACCCCCCCGACACACAGAAACCCCAGAAACCCAGAACACGCGCAGAGAAACACCCCCCCAGGCACACAGAAAGCCCACAATACAGACACTCTCCCCCTCCCGGGATACACAGGCCCCAAAGCAGGCAGAACTCAAGCCCCCCCCCCCGGCACAGAAGAAACTCCAGGAACCACAGACACTTTGAGTCACACAAACACCAGGACACCAGGGGCCATCTATTGCACAGTAAAAACTCCTCCATGACTCTCATTACATGAACTCTTCCATTCCGGAGACAGATCCCATCAGTGACACAGAGACCCCAGAGTGCAGGATGTGATGCAATCCCTGGAATGGTGTCACCCGCTCACCCAGGGATTGTACAAGACAACTGCGACCTCTGGTGTCAGTCCTGAGCACTGACTGCCTCCCTAGTTCTGCAGAGAGGAATGTTGATGGGGGTCCCTGGATCCCGATGAGAGACCCCAGATTACACAGAGATCCCCAGAATACACAGATCCCGGGACACAGAGACCCCAGATTACACAGAGATCCCAGAATACACAGATCCCCGGGACACAGAGACCCCAGATTACACAGAGATCACATTACGCAGAGATCCCCAGAATACACAGAGATCCCAGGTTACACAGAGATCCCCAGAATACACAGATCCCAGATTACAGAGATCCCCGGGATATGCAGAGATCCCAGATTACACAGATCCCAGAATACACAGAGATCCCAGATTACACAGAGATCCCCAGAATACACAGGTATCTCCGGGATATGCCGAGATCCCAGATTACACAGAGATCCCCGAAACACACAGAGATCCCAGAATACACAGATACCAGATTACATAGAGATCCCCAGAATACACAGATCCCTGGGATATGCAGAGATCCCAGATTGCACAGAGATCCCAGAATACACAGATCCCAGATTACACAGAGATTCCCAGAATACACAGAGATCCCCAGAATACACAGAGATCCCCAGAATACACAGAGATCCCTAGATTACACAGAGATCCCAGGAACACACAGAGATCCCAGAATACACAGACCCCAGATTACACAGAGATTCCAGGACACACAGAGATCCCCAGAATACACAGATCCCGGGACACACATATCACCAGAATACACAGATCACGGATACACAGAGATCCCCAGAATACACAGAGATCCCGGGACACATAAAAATCCCCAGAATACACGGAGATCCCAGGACACAGAGACCCCAGAATACACAGATTCCGGGACACACAGATATCTCCAGGATACACATAGATCCCAGAATACACAGATCCTGGGACACAGAAACCCCACAATAGACAGAGATCCCCAGAACACATCCCGGGAAATCCCGGGACACACACAGATCTCTAGAATACATAGAGATCCTCGAGACACACAGAGATCCCGAGAACACACAGATGCCCGGGACACAGAAATCCCCAGAATACAGATTCCAAGACACACAGAGATCCCGGGACACACAGATCCTGGGATACACAGACCCCAGAATACACACAGATCCCGGGACAAGCAGAGATCCACATAATACAGATTCCGGGACACACAGATCACTGGGACACACAGAAACCCCACAATACACATAGATCTCCGGTACACACAGAGATCCCAGGAATACATGAAACCCCTGGGATACACAGAGATCCCCGGGACATGCAGAGATCCCCAGGAATACACGAAACCCCCGGGACACACAGAGATCCCAGGAATACACGAAACCCCCGGGACACACAGAGATCCCCTGGACACTCAAAGATCCCTTGGACACACAGAGTTCCAAGAATACACAAAACCCCCGGAACACAGAGATCCCAGGAATACACAAAACCCCCGGGACACACAGAGATCCCAGGAATACACAAAACCCCCGGGACACACAGAGATCCCAGGAATACACAAAACCCCCGGGACACACAGAGATCCCAGGAATACACGAAACCCCCGGGACACAGAGAGATCCCAGGAATACACGAAACCCCCGGGACACAGAGATACCAGGAATACACGAACCCCCGGGACCCCGGAACACATAGAGATCCCAGGAATACACGAAACCCCCGGGACACAGAGATCCCAGGAATACACGAAACCCCCGGGACACAGAGATCCCAGGAATACACGAAACCCCCGGGACGCACAGAGATCCCAGGAATACACAGAGATCCCCAAAATACACAGAGATCCCCAGAATACACAGATCACCGGGATACAGAGATCCCCAGAATACACAGAGATCCCGGGACAAGCAGAGATCCACAGAATACAGATTCCAGGACACACAGATCACTGGGACACACAGAAACCCCACAATACACATAGATCCCCGGGACACAGAGATCCCAGGAATACACGAAACAGAGATCCCTGGGACACGCAGAGATACCAGCCCGAAACCCCCGGGACACGCAGAGATCCCAGCAATACACGAAACCCCCGGGACACGCAGAGATCCCAGCAATACATGAAACCCCCGAGACACAGAGATCCCAGCAATACATGAAACCCCGAGACACGCAGAGATCCCAGCAATACATGAAACCCCGAGACACACAGAGATCCCAGCAATACACGAAACCCCCGAGACACGCAGAGATCCCAGCAATACACGAAACCCCCGGGACACGCAGAGATCCCAGCAATACATGAAACCCCGAGACACGCAGAGATCCCAGCAATACACGAAACCCCCGGGACACGCAGAGATCCCAGCAATACATGAAATCCCCGAGACACGCAGAGATCCCAGCAATACACGAAACCCCCGGGACACGCAGAGATCCCAGCAATACATGAAATCCCCGAGACACGCAGAGATCCCAGCAATACATGAAATCCCCGAGACACGCAGAGATCCCAGCAATACATGAAACCCCCGGGACACACAAAGATCCCGGGACATACAGAAACCCAAACTTGTATGCGTTTTTGATGCCTTTTTTCCATAGAGCCATGTGAAAGCAGCCTTAGAGGGAGGCAGTCAGTTCCCAGGAGTGACACCAGAGGTCGCTGTTGTCTGCTAGGATCCCTAAGTGAGTGGTGACACCATTCCAGGGATTGCATCACATCCTGCACTCTGGCATCTCGTGTGTCACTGATGGGATCTGTCTCCAGAATGCAACATGGCGGGGTCACTGCAAGCAGAGAATATGACCAAGGACGGCGAAAAGAGATCTGCAGACTGATGGGGGTTGGGAGGGTCCCAGCATGTGCCCGGTGCTGACCGGGACTTTACAATCCACCGGATGACAAAACTTCCTACTGACCGTTATCAGCAAAAGTGAAAGAAAATCCCACATTGTGGGTTGTCACCAGAACGGGAATAGAAGGAAAATCTTACAATGGGGACACTGGCTCTGGTGACACCCTGGGATTCCCTCACTTTGGATGGATTTCCTCTCACTTCCTGTTGTGGCTATAGGACAGGAAGTGCGAGGAAAATCTACCCCATGGCAGAAGGAAATCTAATCCTTCCTTACTCTCCTGATAGAAAACATGATTTTGTTCAACTTTAATCTGCTGACATTTTGTCTCCCCTGGTTCTGATTAACCCTTCTCCCCTCCAGAGGTTTCCCCTCGCCCTCCAGATGATTCCCCACCCCCCCCCCACCCTCACCCTCCAGAGGATCCCCCCCACGCCCTCACCCTCCAGAGGATTCTCCCACCCTCGCCCTCCAGAGGATTCCGCGCCCTCGCCATCCAGAGGATCCCACACCCTCACCCTCCAGAGGATTCTCGCCCTCCAGAGGATTCCATGCCCTCGCTCTCCAGAGGATTTCCCCCCCCCCCTAGCCCTCCAGAGGATCCATTGCCCCACACCCTTGCCCTCCAGAGGATTCCCCACCCTCGCCCTCTAGAGGATCCCACGCCATGCCCTCACCCTCCAGAGGATTCCCCTCCTCGCCCTCCAGAGGATTCCCCCACCCTTGCCCTCCAGGGGATTCCCCGCCATCGCCCTCTAGAGGATCCCCCCCCCCCCTACACGCCCTCACCCTCCAGAGCAGTGGTTCTCAACCTTTCTAACGCCGCGACCCCTTAATACAGTTCCTCATGTTGTGGTGACCCCCAACCATAAAATTATTTTCGTTGCTACTTCATAACTGTAATTTTGCAGTAGGAGGAATAGTGCCCCGTCATTGGTGTCAGTTGAATAGTGTCATTGGTGGTGGGAGGAATAGTGCCCCATCATTGGTGTCAGTGGGAGGAATAGTGCCCCGTCATTGGTGTCAGTGGGAGGAATAGTGCCCCGTCATTGGTGTCAGTGGGAGGAATAGTGCCCCGTCATTGGTGTCAGTGGGAGGAATAGTGCCCCATCATTGGTGTCAGTGGGAGGAATAGTGCCCCGTCATTGGTGTCAGTGGGAGGAATAGTGCCCCGTCATTGGTGTCAGTGGGAGGAATAGTGCCCCGTCATTGGTGTCAGTGGGAGGAATAGTGCCCCGTCATTGGTGTCAGTGGGAGGAATAGTGCCCCGTCATTGGTGTCAGTGGGAGGAATAGTGCCTCATCATTGGTATCAGTGGGAGGAATAGTGCCCCATCATTGGTATCAGTGGGAGGAATAGTGCCCCATCATTGGTATCAGTGGGAGGAATAGTGCCCCATCATTGGTGTCAGTGGGGGGAATAGTGCCCCATCATTGGTGTCAGTGGGAGGAATAGTGCCCCATCATTGGTATCAGTGGGAGGAATAGTGCCCCATCATTGGTGTCAGTGGGGGGAGGAATAGTGCCCCATCATTGGTGTCAGTGGGAGGAGGAATAGTGCCCCATCATTGGTGTCAGTGGGGGGAGGAATAGTGCCCCGTCATTGGTGTCAGTGGGAGGAGGAATAGTGCCCCGTCATTGGTGTCATAGGTGTCATCATTGGTGTCAGTGGGAGGAATAGTGCCCCATCATTGGTGTCAGTGGGAGGAATAGTGCCCCATCATTGGTGTCAGTGGGGGGAATAGTGCCCCATGTTGGTGTCAGTGGGGGAATAGTGCCCCCGTCATTGGTATCAGTGGGGAGGAATAGTGCCCCATCATTGGTGTCAGTGGGGGGAGGAATAGTGCCCCATCATTGGTGTCAGTGGGGGGAGGAATAGTGCCCCATCATTGGTGTCAGTGCCCCGTCATTGGTGGGGGAGGAATAGTGCCCCATCATTGGTGTCAGTGGGGGGAGGAATAGTGCCTCATCATTGGTGTCAGTGGGGGGAGGAATAGTGCCCCATCCTTGGTGTCAGTGGGGGGAGGAATAGTGCCCCATCCTTGGTGTCAGTGGGGGAGGAATTGTGCCCCATCTTGGTGTCAGTGGGGGGAGGAATTGTGCCCCATCCTTGGTGTCAGTGGGGGGAGGAATTGTGCCCCATCGTTGGTGTCAGTGGGGGGAGGAATTGTGCCCCATCGTTGGTGTCAGTGGGGGGAGGAATTGTGCCCCATCGTTGGTGTCAGTGGGGGGAGGAATCGTGCCCCATCCTTGGTGTCAGTGGGGGAGGAATAGTGCCCCATCGTTGGTGTCAGTGGGGGGAGGAATCGTGCCCCATTGTTGGTGTCAGTGGGGGGAGGAATAGTGCCCCATCGTTGGTGTCAGTGGGAGGAATAGTGCCCCATCATTGGTATTAGTGACACCAATGATGGGGCACTATTCCCACTGACACCAGTGATACTTACCTTGCAGACCCCTGCTCCAGCCTGGGCTCGCTCGCTCCCTCCCTCTCCCATGGTACAGACACTTACCTGTCAGCTGTCTTCCTTCTCCGGCCGCTCTCCTCCTCTTCACTCGCTCGATCTTCGCGGTGCCGCTCGGCCCCTCCTCTCCAAGCTCCACCTCCTTGCCGGTGATTGGCCGCCTGTGTGCCTGAGCTACAGTGCCGGCGGCCAATCACAGGCGAGGATTGATCTCGAGGTGTGTCCAGATGACAGGGGCGGCATGTCATCCCGCCCACACCTGGAGACGGCGGTGGTGGCGGCGGCGGCGAGGAGCGGTGTCTCGGTTCCTAAGACCATCGGAAATATGTGTTTTCCGATGGTCTTAGGCGACCCCTGTGGAAGCGTCGTTCGACCCCCAAAGGGGTCGCGACCCCCAGGTTGAGAACCGCTGCTCCAGAGGATCCCGCTCTCACCCTCCAGAGGATTTCCCCCCCTTCCTGACCAGGTCATTTCTTGCGTTATGGCGCTGCGTTACTTTAACTGACAATTGCGCGGTCATGCAACGCTGCACCCAAATGAAATTTACGTCCTTTTTTCCCCACAAATAGAGCTTTCTTTTTCTGGTATTTGATCGCCTGGGTGTTTTTATTTTTTTGCGCTATAAACAAAAAAAGCAACAATTTTGAGGAAAAACAATATTTTGGAGTTTTTGCTATTAAACATTTGCAGTAAAAAAAAAATTAAAAAATCAAATTTCGTCATAAATTTCAGCTAAAATGTATTCTTTGTGTCTTTGCTAAAAAGAAATCCCAATACATGTAAATGAATTGGTTTACGTGAAAGTTATAGCGTCTACAAATGGCGGTACAGATACTGGGATTTTTTTTTTTTTATACTAGTAATGGCGGCGATCAGCAACTTACAGCGGGACTGCGGTGGGCATTCTGACACTGGAGGGGGGGGGGGGGGGAGGGAATTGACTTGGTGTCACTGACATCCCCAGTGACACCAATACAGTGAACAGTGCTAATAAAAAGCAAAGACACTGTACTAATGGCAAAGGGCAGGAAGGGGTTAACGTGGGGGGCGATCAAATGATTACCTGTGTGCTGGTTTACTCTGTAGTCATGCTATGCAGAGCCATACAAAGCAGCAATGCTGGTGCTGACGGGAAAGATCTGTATTGTTTCCATACAGATCTCTTCCCTGTCAGTGATACTCGGCGATCGACAGCTGAAGCTGCCAATGGCGACGCGCTCTCTACTTGGAAATGTGAAATCACGTGTATATATATATACGTGATTTTGTGCAGCCCTGCCACCCTGTAGCAATATTTCTGCTATAGGGCGGCAAGCAAGTGGTTAATATACCAATAAAAACTATTTTTAAAAAATTCCATTATCATTACATATGGTATTTTAAACTCATTTTAGATACTTTAGATCTCATCATTGGATCTCTGTGCTTCTCTATGCAATGCAGGCAGATCATGGCTGGTGGTAGGGGCTTTACATAGCTTCCTGAAAACATCACAGCACCCTGCCTCGGTACTCATCTCAAGAGCCCTCAGCCCTGCAAGCAGTGGAAGGAGTTCTATTTTTTTTTATATGCCTTGATGGGTGGGTGTCTGTCTGGAGGAGTGGGCGTTCCTAGGCAGGCTGCCTAAATGTAAGCAACGCCCACGTGTGAAACTGAGCCGCCATGATTGAAAGAACTGAAATGCAGTGAATGAAAGGGGCGGAGCCAGGGACAGTCAGGCTGAGGACGAAAGTGCTAGATGATGCTGGACGTTCTCCAACCAGGAAATGAGGCGGAGCGCTATCTGACTTTCTGCAGCTTCTAGTGCATGTGAGAAGCTCCCAGTGTGCAGTGACATCAGAGGAAGCCGTTTCAGTCCAGGGGAGGAGCCGCTACACCTGTGCAAGGCTGAAGGGGAGGAGCCAGTACTCCTGTGCAAGACTGAAGGGGAGGAGCCGATACACCTGTGCAAGACGAGGGTAGGAGCCGGTACACCTGTGCAAGACGAGGGGAGGAGCCGGTATACCTGTGCATGACTGAAGGGGAGGAGCCGGTACTCCTATGCAGACTGAAGGGGAGGAGCCAATACACCTGTGCAAGACTGAAGGGGAGGAGCCGGTACTCCTGTGCAAGACTGAAGGGGAGGAGCCGGTACATCTGTGCAAGACCGAAGGGGAGGAGCCATACACCTGTGCAAGACTGAAGGGGAGGAGCCGGTACACCTGTGCAAGACTGAAGGGGAGGAGCCGGTACACCTGTGCAAGACGAGGGGAGGAGCTGGTGCACCTGTGCAAGACTGGAGGGGGGAGTTTATCCCTTAGTGCTGACCACTTCCCATCCCTTTAAGGCAGAGGGGGGCAGTTGGTTCATGTGACCGCTGTGATTGGTTGTCACAGTGGTCATATGATCAGAAAGCTCCTCATCGCAAGTATGTATCAGAAGCCTACCAATCCCCCCTGACCACTGTGCTGGGAGTGTGCAAGGAGAGTGCAGGGAGCAGGTTGGGAGTGCAAGGAACGTGTTGGGAGCGGGTTGGGAACTTGCAGGGAGTGGGTTCGGAGTGTGCAGGGAGCGGGTTGGGAGTGTGCAGGGATCGGGTGGGGAGTGTGCAGGGAGCGGGTTGGGGGAGTGCAGAGAGAGAGTGTGGGGGGGGTGTTGGGAGTGTGCAGGGAGCAGTTTTGGGGTTGGGAGTGTGCAGGGAGCGGGTTGGGAGTGTGCAGGCAGCGGGTTGGGAGTGTGCAGGGAGCGGGTTGGGAGTGTGCAGGGAGCGGGTTGGGAGTGTGCAGAGATTGGGTGGGGAGTGTGCAGGGAGCTGGTTGGGAGTGTGCAGGGGAGCGGGTTGGGAGTGTGCAGGCAGGCGGCGGGGTTGGGAGTGTGCAGGGAGCGGGTTGGGGGAGTGTGCAGAGATTGGGTGGGGAGTGTGCAGGGAGCGGGTTGGGAGAGTGTTGGGAGTGTGCAGGGATCGGGTTGGAAGTGTGCAGGGAGCGGGTTGGGAGTGCAGGGAACGTGTTGGGAGTGCAGGGAACGTGTTGGGAGTGGGTTGGGAGCGTGCAGGGAGTGGGTTGGGAGTGCAGGGAAATGTGTTGAGAGTGTGCAGGGAGCGGGTTGGGAGTGTGCAGGGAGAGTGATGGGAGTGTGCAGGGAGTGGGTTTGGAGTGTGCAGGAAGCGTGCTGGGAGTGTGCAAGGAGCGTGCTGGGAGTGTGCAGGGATCGGGTTGGGAGTGTGCAGGGAGCGGGTTGGGAGTGTGCAGGGATCGGGTTGGGAGTGTGCAGGGAGCGGATAGGGAGTGTGCAGGGAGCGGGTTGGGAGTGTGCAGGGAGCGGGTTGGGAGTGTGCAGGGGAGAGTGTTGGGAGTGTGCAGGGAGCGGGTTGGGAGTGTGCAGGAAGCGTGCTGGGAGTGTGCAGGCAGCAGGTTGGGAGTGTGCAGGGATCGGGTTGGGAGTGTGCAGGGAGCGGGTTGGGAGTGTGCAGGGAGCGGATAGGGAGTGTGTGCAGGGAGCGGATAGGGAGTGTGCAGGGAGCGGGTTGGGAGTGTGCAGGGAGAGTGTTGGGAGTGTGCAGGGAGCGGGTTGGGAGTGTGCAGGAAGCGTGCTGGGAGTGTGCAGGCAGCAGGTTGGGAGTGTGCAGGGAGCGGGTTGGGAGTGTGCAGGGATCGGGTGGGGAGTGTGCAGGGGGGAGCGTGCTGGGAGTCTGCAGGGAGCAGGTAGGGAGTGTGCAGGGATCGGGTGGGGAGTGTGCAGGGAGTCTGCAGGGAGCAGGTTGGGAGTGTGCAGGGATCGGGTTGGAAGTGTGCAGGGAGCGGGTTGGGAGTGTGCAGGGAGCGGGTTGGGAGTGTGCAGGGGAGCGGGTTGGAAGTGTGCAGGGAGCGGGTTGGGAGTGTGCAGGGATCGGGTTGGAAGTGTGCAGGGAGCGGGTTGGGAGTGTGCAGGGAGCGGGTTGGGAGTGTGCAGGGAGCGGGTTGGGAGTGTGCAGCCAGCACGCTCTCAGTCTGGTAGGTGTTTATTAACAGGGCCACATACATGTGTACTGCTGGCGTCGAGGTTCGTCGGCCGTCCCCATCAATTCCAAAACATTTCTCCAAAATGGCAACACTGCAGAAATCTCCAAATTAGGCAGGGATATATTAGGCAGCAAGTGAACATGTTGCCCCTGAAGTTGATGCGTTGAAAGCAGAAAACAAGGACCAGTGTAAGGATTGGAGGGACTTTGAGGAGGGCCAGATTGTGAAGTCTGGACAACTGGGGCGGAGCCACTCCAGCACTGCAGGTCTTGTAGGACGTTCCAGTCTACAGTGGCCAGGACTGGCATATATGTTGCGAGGCAAAGAAGGCAATTGCCTAGGGCGGCATTTTCCGCCCCCCCTGGCAGAAGTGACACAGTGGCAGCTGATGACTGGGGAGCAGTGCAGGCAGGGGAACAGCAGGAGCTGGGATCCACAAGATGGATGGTGTCCCAACTCCTTCCTGGTCCTCATCATGGTTTTGGTGGTGCCTGATGGATACCATTCTGCGAGCTGTGCCAGTGAGTGCTGGAACGGAGGAGGACGGTGTAGAGCAGATGAGTCATCCGCCACAGGCTGTGGGGTTGCTGGAGGATGTCCAATGAGCCTAGGACAGCACAGAAATATAATACACCACTGGGTCAGGACCAAAAGTGGTCCAAGGAAGGAAAACCGGCCAACTAGTGACCAACGTCACGGGCTGCCAAGGCTCATTGATGGACATATAGTCCGATCTGATAGAAGAGCTACAGGAGCTCAAAGTTCTGGTTCTGATAGAAAGGTGTTAGAACACCCAGAGCATCACAGTTGTGTACGGGGCTGTGTAGCCGCAGGCCGGTCAGGGGGCTCATTCTGACCAGTGTCCACAGCCGAAAGAGCCTACAATGGGCATGTGAGCTTCAGGACTGGACGACGGAGCAATGGAAGGAGGTGGCTTGGTCTGAGGAATCTTTTCCATGATGTGGGTGTGTGTCACTTACCTGGAAAGAGATGGCACCAGGATAGGACAAAGACAAAGCCGGTGGAGGCGGTGTGATGCTTTGGCGAATGTTCTGGGATACCTTGGATCCTTCTATTCATGTGGATGTTCCTTGACACGTACCACCTACCTAAACTTTGCTGGTGATCAAGTAAACCCTTGATGGAAACAGTGTTCCCTGATGACAGTGGCCTCTTCCAGCAGGATAATGCACCACACTGCAAAAATGGTTCAACAGAGGTTTGAGGAGCACAATACCCATGCTGACCCATATCTACAGCCAAAAGCACCTACAATGGGCATGTGAGCTTCAGAAACTGGACCACAGAGCAATGGAAGGAGGTGGCCTGGGCTGAGGTATCACGTTTTTTTTTTCGGTGATGTGGATGGCTGGGTGGGTGTGCATCACTTACCTGGGGAAGAGATGGCACCAGGATGGGACGTAGACAAAGCCGGTGGAGGCGGTGTGATGCTTTCGCCAATGTTCTTCTGGGACACCTTGGATCCTTCTATTCATGTGGATGTTCCTTGACACGTACCACCTACCTAAACATTGCTGGTGACCAAGTACACCCCTTCATGGAAATGGTATTCCCTGATGACAGTGGCCTCTTCCAGCAGGATAATGTGTCACACTGCAAAAAATGGTTCAACAGAGGTTTGAGGAGCACAATACCCATGCCGACCCATATCTACAGCCAAAAGCACCTACAATGGGCACATGAACGTCAGAACTGGACCATGGAGCAATGGAAGGAGGTGGCCTGGGCTGAGGAATCACATTTTCTTTTCCATGATGTGGACCGCCGGGTGGGTGGGTGTCACTTACCTGGGGAAGAGATGGCACCAGGATGGGATGAAGACAAACCCGGCAGAGGTAGTGTGATGCTTTGGCCAATGTTCTTCTAGGATACCTTGGATCCTTCTATTCATGTGAATGTTCCTTGACACGTACCACCTACCTAAACATTGCTGGTGACCAAATACACCCCTTCATGAAAAAGATATTCCCTCATGACAATGGCCTCTTCCAGCAGGATAATGTGTCACACTGCAAAAATGGTTCAACAGAGGTTTGAGGAGCACAATACCCATGCTGACCCATATCTACAGCCAAAAGCACCTACAATGGGCATGTGAGTATCAGAACTGGACCACAGAGCAATGGAAGGAGGTGGCCTGGTCTAATGAACTCAAGAATGATTTGAGGAACACAGCAACGAGGTGTTGACTTGACCTCCAAACTCTCCAGATCTCAATCCAATCGAATTCTCCAGATCTCAATCCAATCGAATTCTCCAGATCTCAATCCAATCGAATTCTCCAGATCTCAATCCAATCGAGCATCTGTAGGAGGTGCTGGGAAAATAAGTCCGAGCCATGAAGGCTCCACCTCACAACTTACAGGACTTAAAGGATCTGCTACTGACGGCTTGGTGTTGATCCCTACAGAGGTCTAGTGGAGTCCATGCCTGGGGGGGTCAGGGCTGTTTTGGTGACAAAAGGGGGACCTACCCAGTATTAGGTGGGTGGGCATCGAGTTATGGCCGATCGCTGTTGGTTGCTTCTAGTGGATTGTATAGACGATCATACAGCTGAAAACACATTTCTGATTGGCTGTCACCTCCCACCTTTGCAATACTTTATCAAATATCTGGGCCCCAACCGCGTCCGCCATTCATTTTTTTTTTTTTTTTACTTTTGTCATCTTTGGTTCTTTTTTTTTTTATATATTTAGAATTACATCATCTGCGCCCCCCCCCCCCCCCCCCCCCCCCCCCCCCCCCCCCCGAATCGTCCTGTTGTAACACTCCGATCGTTGTGTCATCACACTAAGGAATCCGTGTCGGAGATCATTCCGAGTTTCCACGCCGTCTTGCATCACGCCTGGCTGGGACTTGCCCGGATCAGTCAGCAGCTCTGCCCACACTGAATCGGCCGGTGCATTGTACCTGCACCATGGCAACGTGGCAAGAAGTGACCCCCCCCCCCCCCCCCAACGAGGAAGGAAGGAGGCCGCCATCATTCATTTATATGTCTTCTTTGCTCAAAGGACAATTCCACATTGTAGCCATCATTGTGATGGAAGAAACCACGGAATGACTTCTTCGGGGGCTTTAAGTTCTCATTCACATGTATGGCTATGGGGCAGTAAAACCAGGAGGTTTAGCCAAAGTAGTACCTCCCCCCCCCAACCACCTCCGTGAGTATGTGACCTCTTAGGACTGTACACATGCCGCAGCATAAATAGAAATGTCCCTGGCCCCGCCCCTTTCATTCATTGGATTTCAGCTCTTTCAATTGTGGAAGCGCGCCATCACCTGTGG